GTGCAAAACAGAGAGCGCTGTAAAAGCTTCTCTTCCTTGTCATACCATTTGGTGACGTTTGGACTAATAATGTCGGTCAATCGTGTACAACTGCAAAAGATTAGACTTGATAATCATATTAGGAGAAATTACGAAATAAATGGCCATGTAAAACCATGCTCCTGCATATAGCAGGTTCACTGATCCTCAAATCAACAGGTAACAGAAGGCTTTTGTTAAATCAGAGGTACCTTTCACAGGACATTAGGTTCTTTAACCGGGCGAATCTCCCCACCAGATGGCTCTAAAACGAAAGCTGTTTCGTCCTAACCACCAGATTCTCAGCCCTCAGCCCATATATGCATTAACAACCAGTTAAATAGCATGCTAGATCACAGAAGTGAGGGAAATGCGTCAAAACAACAAGAGTAGAGATGCTTCAGGAAGTGGCAGACCCAAGGCTTGCATTGTTGCTCAAAGGGCTAAGAGGACTCTGATCCCACGTTTTGGCGTTTGCGACATCTCCACCATCTTTGACAGCCAATTCATTCCCAGGAGTTGGATGAGTCTCAGATTCTCTCTTCCCATTTGGCATCATAGTATTCCTACTGGAATCTCGCTTTGCTCTGAAAACACCCCAGAGGTAGTGCTTACCCTGGAATCCTGCCAATTGATTTTCTCAAACAGCTTAACAATGAACCTTGGATAACGAAGGTAATGCAAACCTAGAATACGTATTCATCTTTAATCTAATACTCCTACTCCCACAATTCTAGTTTATATTATATCATTTGATCTGGCACGGTTATATTATACTGAAAGTGGGTCCAAACTTCCAGCTAAAAGTATTTTTAGGAGAAATAACAATTATTAAATTTAAGAAAAATAATCCATAAAGCATTAACCCAGTGGCAATATGACAAGGCATACAACCTTCACCTTTGATAAGCATGAATGATGATTGGTTAATTTGTTCGCTTAATGGAAGGATATATAATAAGAAGCAACTTTTTTCTAAAGAAACTGACTTTCATTCAATAGGATTGTAGCTCAGTCTGCCCAGTGCTTGGGCTTAAAAAATAGACAAGTCTCCCCCTTTTCTAATCCACACAAAGACACTGTCTCTCTGCCTAAACATTTTTTGGGAATCATACCTTCTGGAACTCCAATCTATCCACTGACCACCAATCCTCAACTTCCCATTACCAATCTCCTATCAATCAAAGACAAGTCTCCAAGTTTTCTTTTGTTTTCTAAAACTTTTACTAGAATACTGTTAGAAAGTTATGGAGTATCATATTGGGGAGTTCGGGACAAACCAAAATAGAAAGTACAACGTGTATAAAAACTCACTCCAGTATAGCAGGGGCAGTTCCGTAGAAGTGAAAACCAAAAGCTCGGCATTAGTTACTATTGCTCGAAGAGCAAGTTCGTTACTGATCATCTTCTCCACCAACTGATCAAACACCTTTTCCCATCTATAGCAAGAAAAATAGGAGAATAAACGAAAACTTGATCAAAATAACCGGTGAATGGTGAAAATATACAAATAATTACCTTATGTCCGATGGGAAAAAATACAATGCAATGTTATCATCAGACGGCTCTGATATAGTGAAACTCTTAGGCCATAAGTCAGACTTTGGAAGCATTTCCAGTTGAAGCGAAGCTGGAAGCAAACTTGCTTCTTCAAAAACCTTTTGGCATGCTTTAACTGAAAGGTGAGCTTGTCCATAAAATGTCTCATACTCTTTGTTCCAGATGTTAAAACTACCCCTGTCAGATCACAATAAAGGATAACTTTTCATTTACACAATAATAGATCCATCAGTTAGATTATCTCCCGAGTTAAAATTCATGACATATCTCCTGACCTCCAAATGAAATCAATAAGAGGTTGCGCTCGGTCTTGGCCACCATGTTTGGGTTCATTTGGCTGTTCACCTTTTGAAAATTGAGAAGGATCTCCATTAACAACAGTTCTAGTTTGAGGTGTTAATCTTCTATCGTTTCCAATCGTCGATTCCTCTTCATGATGATTGCTACGCGACAACATACTGATTGTCTTTTCAATCATGCCAGAAGAATCATCCTGTGTGCCGGGCTGAATATCTCCCTCACAAGGTTCCTTCAAATGAGGAGCGTGCAATTCTTCCCTTGCCAGAGGGCCAGTAACTTCTTCCTTTGATCGCTTAGCTAGCAATGGAGAAACATTAGCTGATTGAGTTCGTTCATTGCACTCAATGATTATCTGTGACTTGTGGGATTGCTCAGAAGAGCAACGTACTAGTCTTTGCTCATATTTCTCATCTCTTAATGAAGCAAGAATAGATCTCTTCTTGCTCGTCTTCACAACTGGACTATCACCCGCTATCTGACAATTCTCTACCAAATCAATCCCAGCACCTGGCTGATGAAGTTGCTGATCCCTACCTTGACAACTCTTTAATTTTGTCTCAGGAACATCCACTTTTGCTTTAGACGTTGCTTTACAATGCCTTGAACTAGTGCAATCCCCATTTTCTACTGAGATGGCATCAGATTTCTTGATGTTTAGTTCGTCTGGCTCCTTCACTTCACAGTCATCACAGACCCAGTTGACAAATTCCTTGAAGGTGACTTTTTTAAGGCAGTAGCTGAAAAATAAGCAAGATCAACAAACCATATAACGAAACATAAAAGGATAACCTGTAACCCATCTTGGTATTTAACCTTTAACAGCAACTAATAAGTCATGCCATAGAAATTATAATTTAAAAGAAAAGAAAATTGTTAAGTTCAAACACCAACAGAAAAGAGAAAAATCATGAGAAACTAAGAGAATGAAAGAGACATTAATGAAGGCTTAATACTGTGATAAGTACAATGCACACATTTCTGTATGATATTTGTTTAATGTCAAATAATATCCAAATTAAGAACTTAAGTATGCGAAATGTTAAAATTCTAGCACACCCGAAGTCAAAGTAGGCAAATTATTGGATTTGCTTATTTTGAGAACGTAGAAATTACATTTAGTCGGAAAATCTACAAAATGCTACCAGAAAAGTTGTGGTTGCTGGAAGCTCGCCCAGATAGCGGATGTGAAAACGATTGCCAGAAAAGGTCACGTCATTACCTGGACGATCATTAAAAGAGAAGCGGCGCCATCATAACAATCACAGGAAAGAAGAGCGAACGCTGAAACGGTCAACGAAAAGAGATACGCACTCTACAACAGTCACTGGAAAGATGCACGATATAGTTGGAATGATCGTCAAAAATAAGTGCAGCATTTCCAAAACGGCTATAAGAAAGAGGAATGGCACTGCTGTAAAATGACAGTGCTATTTGAGCAGCCGCATGAAAAAAGTTGTGATGCTGCCAGAGAAGTGTGGTGCCGCCTGATTGGTCACCGGAAATAGACATTGTAGCCAAGGGGTCACCGCAAAGAAGGAAGGAGGATTAACTTTAACCGGTCAAATGACACAAGGCCATCAGCTGGTAGGGAGAAGCTACTTGATTCTTTACCAAGATCGTAGAGGCTCTAATAACTATAGTATCAGACACATTATACATATGATATTGGTCCAATGTGAATTAATAAGCAACATAAGAACCCAACTCTTCTACCACTATAACTCAAACATTCTAACAGAAAACAGAACCCTGGAGGAACAGGAAGTTGCTTTCTGATCAAATAACCAACATTTTGCACAACATTCAAACAATGAATAGCTCAAAACAATTGGATTGCCCATTATAAGCTTCCTTTTTAAGGTTGATTTAAGTGTTGAAGGCAAAGGGTTGTAAGCCTTGTAGGTCCATCAAATTTCAAAGAACTTTTAGTTTGCAAAGATCCATTTTTAATAAGACAATGATTTAATGAATAAATGGCATGGCTACATACAAAAGTATGGTTTTACAACAAAATCCGAAACTTCATCCATCTATATAACTTTTTTTGATAAGTAACTTCATCTACCTATACAGTGTGGAATATCATTTCAAAGCAAAAGATATAAATGAAACAAAAAGGAGCTCTTGACTCTCCAGAATGGACTCTGTAGGAGCAACTCTCACAAGTCCTTCATATTGACCATCTTTTGTATTTTCTAACTTGTTGACACTTCCGATACGCACCAGGAACTCCCAAACTATGTTACATAAACAAACAATAATCAAGGATCATAGATATGTGGCAAAACTACAATGTATTAATACATGTTCTACATCCTCCCTGTCTTTATTACACCAGCAGCACCAATTGACTAGCATTTGTCTTCTCCTTCTTAGATCATCTGTCGCTAAGATGGCATTCAAAACTGCATAATGCATAAGAAAATCATTTTGTTTGGTCCCTTGTCCTCTAAAATGTGATTTCACGTGGGCTTTGAATCAACCATTATTGTAGAAAAGATCACAAAACAACTGCACTGAGAACTTTCTGAAAGTTCTTTACCAATGATCTTCCCCAAATCACTCTGTCTCTTTTACTAAATAATACTCCCTCTGTTCCAACTTGTTGGCACATTTGACTAGATACAAAGCAAAGAAATAAAGGAAAACTTTTGATATAGAATAAATATGAACAAAATACCAAAAGTATTCTTGTACCAAATAATTTGCTTTGGTATCCTCTGGACCCTACAACAAGTCATGACATAGCAGAATGGGAATGTAAAATTACAGTAACTTCTAAATATAGAAAGGTACAAATCTTTTAGGAATGGACAAAAAACAGAGCAAAGCAAATTTGAATGAAGTAGTACTGTAAATTTTCTATAAAAGGTTGTTAATATCATCTCCACTTCCAATAATATATAGATCTTCTGAAAGATATATTCATCGACATTTGGTTTCCCGTTTCCCACTCTTTAAGGAGCTCGACTACTGGAGGGAGATGCATCAAAGGGGGTTCTAGTGGATGGTCTATTTGGAGATGGGTCATCTCAGAGCTTCTTGAAAGAAACTTGTTTTTTGGTACTTGCTCTTTTTCTTTCTTGGAATACCTCCACTTAGTATAAACACTAAATTGGGGTATTTCCCTTTCAAACATTAGAATTTATTACCTCATCAAAAAAGTTTAGGAGCTCTGTTATTGTTGCCTCTTTGATAGTCGAGAGAGTTCGTATGTTCCTTCCCTATTACTTTTCAGTTTTCCTTTCACACTCAGGTTGTATGTGTCCTGAATATTCAGATGAAACTTCTGCTGCCGTGAATTGATTAATCAAATTTCCTGGTTTTGAGAACTCAATAACAAAAAAATGAAGTTCTTGATTTAAGACAACCATCCATGAAGTTAAACAACCAAAGCTTGAGAGAAACAGGGGCAGTAACATTTTGAGGAATGTTCAATGCAAGGAGAAAAAGTAAATTAGTTGGGACTATCAAGTTTAAGTTAAATTTGAATTAATAAAATAAAAAGAGCTACTAGTTTGTTCAATTTCAATGCTAATAAAAAAAATCAGTAGGTTTAGATGTCCTTGTGAGTAACCCCATTGGAACTGCTAACAGCTGATATTAGTTCCCAGCTTAAACTTTATACTGGAACTATGGGTGTCTAAGAAATCACAATGTATATCTGTCCAATCCACAGTTAAAATAATTTAGGTGTAAGTTATTTCCATTTCTTTTTTTTTAAAGTACGGTGGTATACAGGCAAACTTGGTGCATATTGACTATTCCACTAGGTACCTGCTACTCCCACTGGTACAAGTACCGACCTGTCCACCACAAGTACATGTGTAAGTTATTTCCATTTCAAAGCTATAGTTCACACCGGCCACGACCAAGTTTCACGTAGTGCCGGTCACGACCCAAGCCGTGACTGAAAGATCATGCTCGAGAATAAAATTGCAATAAAGAGAGTACAATGTTTGAACTATAACAATGCCAACACTGTTGATTCAACTTACCGATGCACAGCAACTTCCAGGCATTTCACACAGAAAACAAATGCGTTAGTCCAACCTTCATCACCACAATTTAGACATATTGTTACCTGCAGCCAATCGCAATATAACTAATTAAAGATGCAGAATATCATTATGCAAGAAATATAAAACTACGCCGAGTCTAAGTCTTCTTGTTAGAGGGGAAAGAAACTATAGCATGCAGAGATACAAACTTTAGGTATAGAGTACTGAGTAGCCTTCTTTGCAAAAGTCTTTTTCTTCTTAAATATCGTGCCCCATCAGACATTGTCATATAAAATGAAATGGAGGGAGTATGTTACATAGACGGCTAAGGATACGTGTGTGATTTAACTGATACGGGTTAGCACTTAGGTTACACATATCTTTTTAAGGACACGTGCCATGTACCAGGGTGTGCAAGGATCCCATATGATTGCATCAAGTTTTTTTTGCTAATTTTTAGAGTATTTTGAAGAACAAAAAAAAGTACCCACACCCCTTCGACACGGGTACGTCAAGGCAAATGAAGTATCAATGTAACATAGGCAAGTGAAAAACTTTGGCCTTGAAGTATCAATGTAACATAGGCAAGTGCAGCATGTTCCTAAATTTTAGTGTAATTTGAAAAGTTCACGTGAGATATCCACACACATGTCTGACCATTCAACATGGGTACATCAAGACATATGAAGGATCCATGTAATATAAGATTATAATCTACGCCAAGGTGAATTAACTTCCCACTCATCTATAAGATCTTCAAAACAAAAAGGTTCAGAATTCATGGAAAAAGCAACAAAAAAGTAAAAGAGAAGGTCTGATTTCTCTCTACAGTTCCAAGTAAAAGCTAGTATTCTCCGTTTGTCAACCACAACACTCTATTTTTCCTCAATCATTTCTTTAAGGTGCTTGATTAAAAACCTAGTTATATTTATGAATAGAAAATTTTATGTTGCTGTTGGGAACACAAATCTTCGTATATGACAGCAAACTTTTCTGATAGAGATGTATGGTAAGACTGAGTGGAAAGAAAGAAGCATTTAATTAGAAGGATGACTGTGAGAAGTGCTTTTATGGCTATGTCATCCTCCACATAGCATTGAAGGCAAAGGTACATGCGCAAAAGATGAAAGCTCACAGAGCATTCCTGTGCCTATTTTTGTACTCAAAAGTACAATCATTATGGAAGATACATAAGCATGTCGGAATACAGGGGGAACGCACGTGTTTGATTATCTTGCCAGAGGTCTGTGTGTTCTAAAACCAGGGAGGAATACCTTGAGAATAAGATTGAGAGATTTGAAAGTAAAGGCATAGAGAAAATAGTGGAAGCTCAACCAAACGAGATCAGAAACACCTTCTCAAAGGTGATAAAGCACAACGGATGATCACAGAAAGAGCACAACATGCTAAGACATGCTAAGTCAAAAGTAGAGGAGGAGAAGAGTCAAAACTGAAGGACTCATCACCAACTAACAATGATTTCCTAGGCAGACATGTCATCGGAGATTTGACGGAGGCAACTTAGACAAGCCAACTTGTTCTTATTTACGCAACAAATGGAAAGTAAAAGTAGGGTACAAGTTTTTGAGATGACAGGTCTCTAGTTTTTGCTCGAGTTTCCCTATAGAAGAGAAGCTGAATGAATATTGGTAAGGAAATGGAAATTGAAGCAAGCAACAGTGAAACTCAAATGGTGATCTCTAACTGTCAGGTATGCGCTGAACAGATCTAGATGAGGATGAGTGTGGATCAACTCTTGGACTTCCTTTACATCTATGGTCACAGACCAGTTTGGCAGAAGTAGACCAGATTATAATTACTAAAGAGTTGGGATAAACACTAAAATTCCCCAAAAATAAAAAGAGATCCCATTACCTCACCCTAACCCCACAACTTTAAAATCTCAAAATGTTTCTTGTTTCCTCTCTCCTTGTTGCTCTTGTCATTCCTGTCAAAAGCCAACTTCGATCACCCCGGCAATCACTCCGATCACCGCTAATCGTGCAATTGTCGGTCCCTTCATTGATCATAGCCACCCTCCAGTTTCCGTCAAGCCGTCGTCATCACAGTCCCCTTAACTCTTGTTGAAAATCATCTAAGGTAAATTACCTTGTTTTCTAATTTTTTTGAATTGTGAGAGGAAGAAGGGTGGGATTTGGTAAGGTGAGGGGACTGTTTAAATGTTTAAAGAAGAAGATTTTATGTTCTTGTTGATTGATTCTAGTTGGATACGGTTTGGTTTTGATTTCCTAAGTTGGCGATGCCCATTGTTGGTTGTTAAATCAAATCTGGGTTGATTTAAACAACCACAAGTAGTTTAAACAACCTGTGGGTGTTTATAAAACCCTGGGTAGTTTAGGGTATTTGTTTCATAAACAATCTTGTGTTGTTTAAACAACCTGACATTGTTTATACAAAGAACATGTGGTTGTTTGCAGGTTTCTTGTATAAACCACATATGCTTCTATAAATAGACAGTGGGTTGTTTAACCTGTGATTGTTGTTGTCAAGGACTGTTCAATCTTTTTTGAGTTAAGAGAAATTATTTATTTGCATCACTGATAATTTTTAATTATTTTGTGTGTGTAGATAAAATAGGAAGGAAACATTGAGTCGTTGAAAGCTCATCCTCCAATTATACCAGCAAAAGAGTGAGAACGTCAGAGGCTGTCCAAACAACAGCTCCGAACAAGTTAATAGAGAGCAACAAAAATCCTCGTAGAGAGGTCCTCACTTCATAGAGAAACAAAAGACGAAAAATCGGTGGAGGTAGAAATATCTTGATTATCTTTTATAAATCATGGGCATTAAGTATGCAACACGTGAATCCGACTTCCAGACATGCTTAACTTGCGCTTAACAATAGCTTGATTATTTTGATGAATTTATAATTGCTAGAAATGTGATGATTACAGGTTCTTAAATCAACCAACAAACTGAATTCTCCGTAAAGGGGCCTCACCTCACAGAAAACCAAGATATGAAAGATCAATCGAGGAGCCGGCTACCCAAACAAGAGATGAAAGATCAACTGATGCTTGTTTAGACAACCACCCGTCAAGAAACATAAACACATAATTTCTCTTTATGCAATGCTATACAAAATTAGAGATTTCAGTAGATAAACACAGCACTAAGACACTAAAATTCCAACTCATCCTTCCCCGCTTTAACTTTTTTCACTTAGGGTTAATTTAATATAACAAACCCATTAAGGGAAGGGGCCCACTTCCTAATTTATCCTAAGGGCATGAATTTCATCGGACTTCCTGTCGGCTAGGTTCATTCCCTCCATCTCACACAGAACTGTCTAGAAAATTCTTTACAGAATAACCATTACTGTAAAATTGAAGCAAAGAAGTAAACAGTGAAAGAACCAGAAAACTTACCATGGTGGGAAATAATTTTCAAGGACCCAGCAATAAATGCAGATGAGCAGCTGCTCTCTGCTCAAGAAAAGCTCATAGCAGACTGTAAAAAGATTTTAGACCAACCAACAACTTTGTCAAAAATCTGAAGTCAGAAAACCCAGCAAGAACTGTATGTGTGAATACTGAAATCTTGTTTAGAAGGAGAAAAGGTTTAGGGCAAGTGATGTATGTTTGAACTTTGAATTGGATAGAACCATTTCAAAGGATTCGTTTTCCTTTCTTTTAAATAGTTTTTGGGTGGATGATTAAAAAGACTGTTTTTTTGCTTCCTCCTCCACCTTTTTCAAGTTTTAGTCCCCAAAATCCCTAAAGCGCAACGACAGTGCAGAACTATGGATCTCTTTTGATGGCTCGCGGTTTAAATTTTTTAAATACACAATATTAATTTTATAAAATTATTATCTAGTATATCATATTATTTTAATAAATAGTAACTGTATTTTATTATTTAATATAGTGTACAAAAATATAACAAAATCAATACAAAATCAAAGTTTAGACATCATATAGTAATTAAATAAATTGTTTGTTCCTTATTTATTCTTATTATTAAATTAGCAAGTACTTAGTACTGAATATTTACTAATGTAATTTTTTATTAACTTGTCAATTCCTTAATATTTTGATACAACTTCTCTTTTTATATATATATTAAATTTATATTGATAAACTTATGTTATATTGTTCAAAATTCTTAAATTGTCTAAATTTTTTGATAAATTTTTTGAGTGTTATTTATTTATCTTTTATTTTTTAACTTATCAAAGTATAAATATCATTCAATTATCTTTATCCCCCTCTTTTCGTACATTCTTTTCTACTATAATATTTGATTAGTTTTCTCATTTTGTAGTTTACTGAAAATTGAAATAATATAATATATTCTTTACTAAATTATAATTTTGAATTCATCAAAAGTATAAAGAGATAAGCCATTATTATTTTTATAAGAAACTTACAAATATTTTGAATAGCTATTAATTTGTGTTATATATATATATATATATATATATATATATATATATATATATATATATATATATATATATATATATATATATANTAAAGATATAAGCCTTTATTATTTTTATATAAAACGTAGTAATATTTTTAACAATTAATAAAATGTCTTTTATATATAATATATTATCTTGTGTATAATATCTTAATAGTTTCTTTATATTTTTGTATTTTTTATTATAAAATTATGAGTTCTATTTATTAACTAAAATTTTCTACATGAGATATTAATTAGTATATATATTTTTATGCTCGCTTGAAATTCTTTTTTAATAGTATTATTCCCTTATTACTATTTGCTTTTTATGATTTTAGTTATGTATATGTGTACGACTTTTCTCATTATAAGTCTAATTATAAGTGCTATATTTTTATAGTTTGCCACAATTTTTTTTTTGTTTCATTGCTTATCTAATTGCATTATCTATTACTTAATATTATTAAATTTTCATCTAAATTATTAATAAATTTCAGTTTAATATAATACAATGAATATAATTTTGTATTACTCTTGAAATTTAACTTCACCGTCACAACTCAAAACCCATAATAGGTCGAGATGGCACCTAACGTTGTTGTTAGGCAAGCCCACAAGTGTAACTATAATTTAATTACCCCTTTTTAACATTTAAAACAAAAGTTCCTTTTTAGAATAACGAAATAAGTAAGATCTTATGCAACCGTAGGTACTCTTTTCTCAACAAAATACCAGCATGATAAATACATCCATTGTAATGACAGTAGTAATAAGTACAACAGTATATACATGCTAAAAGCCCTCAAAATCTAGTATCACAAGTGCATGTGCAATCTAGAGAATATACAAAACTAATACAACTACTGCGTGAAAAGTAATAGACAAAAATTATAAATAAGGTAGAGGGAGACTCTGGTGCTGCAGATCGTAACAAGGCAAGAAGCTCACCACTAAGCCTCCGTAAAAGATCATCTACGCGCCCGCGTGACCACTGGTAGTACTGATCACGTCCAAATGCACGCCTCTAACGAGGTATGACACGGACGTTTGCAATAATAAAATCCAACAAGGAGTCGGGATTGAGAGCACCTAATTTTTGTCCTACATGAAAATAACTCCTAAAAATAGGCCAAAATAATTTTTAAGGGATTTTATAGTTTTTTTTATTTAGTTGCATTTCATGTATTTTTAATATTTTAAAATCATATCATAAAAATTGTCACGTTTTAATTTCATGCCATCTTAGGTTCGATTTGCATGTAGGAATGAATTTTACTAAGCAAAAATTACCAAAAAATGGTCATTTTTACATATTTAAAATTTAGTCTTTACAAGTTAGCATTTTTCTTTAGTTTTTAATTAGTCGTTTTAATGTTAAAAATAAATAAAGAATTCTAATTACTACAAAAATAGATTGATTTAGGATTTTAATTAATTAAAGAAAAGAAAAAGGAAAAAACAAAGAAAAGGAAAATAGGAAGAATATATTTTGGTCTTGTTTCTTTTAAAATTGGGTCAATTCCTAAAATGGCCCAAATTAATTTTAAACCCCGGGCCAATTCCCATGACCCAATTCCCTTGACCCAAATCCCCTCATTAAAACCCCCCATATACCTAGACCTAAAAAAAGGAAGAGGTAACGATCAGATCCCTTCTTCAAAAATTGGAGCACTGTTTCCCATCATCTTCAACAAGAGATAAAAAAATCGGACCCCTTCCCCTAAGGCAAAAGACCCCAGCGCCTTTCCCCCATCCAAACACACTGACTTTCAGTCACTCCCACCCCATTCTCACGAAAGAGTAGTAAAAGCAAAAGGAAATTCTGCAATATTTGTTGTTGGCTTCCATTTTTGATTTCTGGGTATTACTTTGGTGTAAAAATGCTGTGTTTTGTTGCTGTGATCCTGTGATGAATTCAAATATGTCCGCTTGGTCTTTATTTGGTTTTTTCTGCACCTAGACTCAACTTTACAGGTACTTCTCCGAACTTTAAATGTAAAACACACTTATGTTGAAGAAGAGTTTGGATTAGGCAAATTTGACAGTTCTCGTCATACCCTAGGCTGTGATAGTCTCTTCGATTCTGACCTTACCCTTTCTTCTTGCCTCGGTTGTATAATCCCAGGGTATGGCATTTGTGTAGAATGACGGCATGGTGGACATCGCCACTGGGATCGGCGCGGCTATCTTTACTTCGAATGGAACATGTTCTTTGGGTGGTAAAACTGCAACCTCAAATGGTACTGGTGCCTTTGCTGATGGTGCTGCTTCGAACTCAAGAGGTATAGACACATCTACCTCGGTGTCCTCAGACAGTTGGATCTGGACTATAATCGGGTTGAGAGTAACTGCTGGTTTCTTTGGGTCATCGCCTTCTGCGATCAACCCGATGGATCCCTCGGGATCCCAATCATCCTCTACTTCAATCATGTGAATACCCCTACCCTTATGGTCCGGTAGAGGGTTTTTACGGACGTTCAGAGCGGCTTCCTTTGCTACAATGACTTTGTTATCAATCAAAGACTGTACCTTATTTTCTAAAGAGCGACATTCATCGATGGTGTGTCCTTTCATGCCGGAGTGGTATGCACAAGACTTGTTTGGGTTAACCCACTGAGAAGGATTCCCAGGGGTTGTAGCAAGGACGGGGGTGACATAACCGGTGGCTTTGAGTCTCTCATATAGCTGGTCAATGGGTTCGGCGATGGCTGTATATTATTTTGGAGGCCTTTGATCGAAGTTAGGTCGGGGCCTAGGAAAATTTGGCGTACGGGGGGTGATTGGTAATTGATGATAGGCTATAATTACTATAATTACGTATTTTAGTCACTTATTACACTCTAATTTACTGCACTTTAATTGAGTTTGAGCTTTAATCGCTAGTGTCTTGTGCTAACTGTGTGTTTTATGCCTTGTAGGAGTGATTCCGAGCTATGTAAAAGTTATGGAATGAATTCAAGTGATTTGGAGCTTTGAAGTCTGAGTAAAAGCTCAAGGAATTAAGCCGGGATCGTGTTTGGGGGTCAACGGATGATAGTTAGAGCGAAAGAAGAATCGAGTAGGCATATCGCACACTGTCTAGTAAAATGGATATAACGTTTTGCTCAGAACTCCATTTGGGCTCCACAATATATGGTTGGAAAGCTAACTCAAAGGTTACAACTTTCAAGTTTTACGTTTTTCCAAATTCCAAGCGGAACAGGGTCAAAAACGCGATTAAAACTGCGACTGCGGACCTGACGCAGACGGAGACAGAATATAACCCAACTAGCGCGGCCTTAACGTTGGCTTAGCGCGGCCCCGCTAGTCCAGACGGAAAAACAGATCTGAAGGGCACTTTTGGAAGTTCAAGACCAATCCCCTCAACCTATAAAAGGTTTAGTTCGTGCAAAGGAGCATGGAAGAAGTTTTGAGGGTTTAGAACAAGGAAAAAAAATAAGAGGCAAGGAGGAGAGACACTACTTTAAGGTTAGACAACACCCTTGGAGGCAAGAACACGCTAGGAGCAAGGAGGAAGATTCAACTACGAGTTTTTCCCCTTCTTATTCCTATTTTTTCATTGTAGGTTATGATTTTTAGTATTGTAGTTTCACATACTTTTATGAAAAGCTAATTCGTTTTCTAGGATTTTGATGGAACCTTTTGGGGATGAATTGGTTGTTATATTAATATAGTTTTGAGTTAGTTGTTAATCTCTATTTGTTCAACTACGTTTTGATTTTGGTTAATTGAAAGGATCCTCAAATAGCCATTCCTATTTATTATGAATCTGCTTGAGAGAGAGTGCATATTTAGGTAGTTGTTTGAACAATATCACTCCCGGAGTATAGGCGAGAGTCATAACCGAGGGTTTAGAGGTTGTATTAGAGATAACGATACCTCGGGTGCGATCTAAGTGAACTGTAATGTGAATCTAGCTGGCGTAGCTTGAGAGAGTGCGTCTAGTAAATTATCGTAATTGCTTGAGAGAGATTTATGATAGCTGGAGAGTTCATGATTGATAGAGGCGACTATGTCAAAGCTATAAGAAACATACAACTAATGAAATCAACAATTGGGGAAATCATAACTCTAGACCACCTTAATTTAGTCTTCAAACCTTTGTCTCGTTAGTTGATAATTTTATCGTTTTATAGTATTTGTTGGTTATGGATATAAAAATCTTAATATTATAATTTAGAAATTGTTCAAACTTGTCTTCTTTGCGATATTGAACAATTACAGCGAAACCTTAGTCTCTGTGGGATTCGACTCCGGACTTTTAGACCGGATTATATTTGCAGCGACCGCTTATCCTTTTTAGGACTAGAGTTGGGCGTGATCGA